AATGGAAGCGTGATTGTGCACATCTACCCACTGTTGTTGTTGTTGTTGTGTACCATAGACTCAGAACCAGCCCATAGCTGACCCTCTAGTGGGTTTTCAGATGCAGTTAATCACATGGGAGTAGATTACTCATCTTTCTTACTCAGAACATCTGGTGGACTTCAACCACGTGCCTTCAGGTTTGCAATGCATCTCCTTACCGTTAAGCCCTTAAAACGACTTGGTGGTCTGCGTCCGAAAAAATAAGCCATTGAGGTGTCTCACAAACTCATTGCTGATAAGTCAGAGCCAATGCTCAGTTCCCCCTCGAGTGAATTTCATATGGGAGGAGCTGGTTCATCTTTTTCCATTAAAAAATTGGTAAATCTGAAGCACCTGCCTTTGTATTGGCAGCTCAACTCGTTATCCATTATGCCCCTGAGCTCTCTATGGATCCACATGGGTCACGGTCAAGTCAACTAAAACTGGTTTTTCTTTGGATTTTTAGATTTTTGTATGTGGACAGTTGAAAAATGTTTGCTCTGGTTCCCTCTGTGCTGAGGAATCTCCTTTGAGTCTAATGAATGGAAAATGTGCTTCGATCGTTTGAGATTTCTATATTATCCTCTTTTTGTATTAATATGCCTAAACCCAGGGATGTTTTTTATTTCATTAGTTAATTTGACCTAGTCTTGAAATAAAATTCTGGCACCATCCAGCAAGCAACTATAAAAATTAGTGTTGAAACTGGAGTGCTAGTAATTTCAACTTTAGTGGTTATCAATACCTGAGTCTTATTGCCTAACGGGCATTGTTCTGTTGTTGTTCTTATGCACCATCAAGTCAAAACTGACTCATAGCTGACCCTCCAGTGGATTTTCAGAAGCTGTAAATTTTATAAGAGGCGATTGCCCATCTCTTTTCCATGAAGCAGCTGGTGGGTTCAAACTGCATGCCTTTGGGTTGAAGGCACAAATTCTTACTCACTAGGTCACCAGAACTCTCTATCCAGAGCTCTAAGACATTCTATATGAGCTCATTCATTTAATTCTCATAAGAATTTATCAATGAAGTATTATTATTATATTTTATAAGTGAGTAGACTGAAGTATAGAAAACCTGAGAAAGTTCCAAACAACATCCCACTGATGAAGGTAAAGCCAAGAAAAGAACTCTAGGTATCTTTTATTACTTGTCAAACACAGGCCATGTGCTGTTGTGTCAGATTCTCACTCCTGGAATTCCATAGTGTTTTAATCCCTTTAATAATACAGAAGTAGACCAGTAAGTCTTTCTTCTGTGGTGTCTCTCAGCTGATTCAAATCACTGAACTTTTGGTCAAATATAGGGCATCTAGTTGAATTTGAATTTCAAGTAAATAATGAATGTTAGTAACTAGGAATAATGGCTGAAGTATTTCACAGGCTATAATTACATAAAAGTAAAGAATTCTTTGTTGCTTATCTGAAGTTCAAATCCACCCAGTGTCCTGTATTTTTGTTATATTTTTCAAGTCTATTTTAGAGGGAGGTGCATGTACAAAGACAGCAACACAAACAAAACAGAAATTACAAGTAGGTAAGTTTTGTTTAGAAAGAAGCAAAATTTTTTAAAAAGATCTGGAGCTGGCTATTGCCTAAAGAAAAGAATAGATTATGGTAGAGTCATTAACAAGTGAGCAAACACTGGTGGTCTGGTAGTAAGGAGCTATGCTGCCAACCCAAAGACAAGTGGTTGGAATCCACTGCTGCTCCGTGGGAGAAAGGTGGACAATCCCCTTAAGAGATTCACCACCTCTGAAAACCCACGAGAGGGCCAGCTCTGAGCCAGTTCTGACTTGATGGTGCATGACAAGAGCAACTTGACAAGTGGGAAGCCAGGGCAAGGGAGGACCATCCACCTAATGGGAGATGGGAGATACACAAGTAGTGTCTGTCACATGGTTGATTCATTAGTGTTTCCCTAAGAAATAGTATTGTTGTTTGTTGTTGTTAGGTGCTGTCAAACCAACTATGACTCATGTTGTTGTTGTTGTTAAGTCCGTTGAGTTGTAGACGACCCATAGTGACTCTATGAACAAAAGCCCTGAACCCTGTTGTATAACTATCATCATTTCTCTAAGTTCAGAGAGTTTCCAGAGGCGAGCTATTTCAGAAGTGGATGCCATTCTTGCTTCCAAGATTTTTTTATTTTTATTAAATTTTATTAATTTTAATGAACATTTACAGAGATGTTGGGTTTTCATTCATTCATTGTTGCACTATTTTCTCTAACCCTCCTCCCCAGTTCGTTCTTCCCCCCCCCTTGTAAGTCTGTTTTAATTGTCCGATTGCCACAGTGCTTGTCAAAGTCAGTTCTGATTAATCTCCTTTGTCAGTGTGTCCTTTGCCATTCCCCATCACTCCTCCCTGAGAGAGATTTCACCCTGATTCATAAGGAAAAGGGGATGGTGTGTTCTCTTAGCTACTTCCTGCTGTAAAGGGACGCTGTGGGTTTCAGGGTGAAGATCTTCTCTCACTACTCTGAAGGGCCCCTTTGGCAATAGGAAACACAGACTATGATGGAGATTGATTTTGGAAATTAGATGCACTGTTATCAATTGTGCTTAGGCATACACGCTCATATCCTTAAAGATGTATGATGGAAGTGTTGCAGCCTAGAAGACACAAATTTAACTAACAAGTTAAAAGTACATGAGTCAAAAATTAAAAAGCAATAACATTCCGAGTAGAGGCTCTAATATTGGCACAAATCAAGTTACAGAGGGAAGGTAGTTCTTACAATAAAAGGCCTATTAACTAACACTTTGTCTATTATAGTATAAAGGTTAGGAACCAGAAGATGTAGAGGCTCAACTATGTCATTTATTGTTCTTAAGTCCTGGAGCAAATTCCATCTACCACTGGGTTGTTTTACAACTCGGAAGTCCGCATGCAAGGCAGAGGTAAAGTAAGGAACTGCTTGTGAGGTTTTCTGTCAATTCCAACAACTAAGAACTAGTGAGAAGAGTTGGGACCTCAGAAGGCTTTTAGGACCAATTAGTAGGCTCTGTATCCAGGAGAAAATGAATATACTTACCAGTAATGTTAATGCTCACCCACAGCTCTTCTGGGAGGATCTAAATCATTGAAGCGTCCTCCTTTGTTTCCAGCTGGGAGCTGAGGCCTGTCAGTCCTGTCTGCCATGAGGACTGATGTGGGCCACGCTTGGCGAAGTGATCTTATCCTTTAGTGACTCAACATAATTTGTTCAATATTTCATGAATTCTTGATCATTTTTAAGTGATGCATAATATTCCACTGTGAATGTTACTTTATCCATTCATTGGTAGCAATCCTATAAACAGCCATCCTGAAACCTGTCCTATCCTGTGCCATTGTCTCCATTTCTGAGATACTAGAACCGATTGTTGAAGTCAGAGTCAGTCTATCTCATTGTCTTCCTCTCCTTTGCTGAGCCTCTATCTTTCTAAGTAGAATTTCCCTTTTCAAGGTATAGTCTTACCAAGTTACATGTTCAATGTATGAAAGATGAAGCTTCATCATCATTGCCTCCAAGAAGCACTCTGGCCTTGCCCTTTCTGGGATATTTCTTTTGGTAATCCATGTGATGTTTAGTACTCTTCTCCAGCACCACAACTCAAAGGCATCAATTCTTCTTTTGTCATTTTTATTCATTGTCCAGCTCTCAGATGCATAGCATGTGATTGCCAACACCATGGCCTGAATCAGCTGCACCTTAGTCCTCAAATTGACATAATTGCTCTGCAATAATTTGGAGAAGTCGCTGATATAAGACTTGCCCAATACAATACAGCACCTGATTTTTATGACTGCTGGTACCAAGGATGTTGATTGTTGGTCCAAGCAATATTAAATCATGAGAAGTCATAGAGGGGGTCTTTGTTGAAATGGGTACCATATGGTTGTCATTGCTGGATCTCTAAGGTCTTTTCTGAGCAGAGAACAGAAATGAGAGGGGTGCTGATGAAGACAGAAGTGTGTGTCTGAAGTTTTAAAAGTATACCTAGGAAGCAAGGCCAAAACTGGAAGGGAGAGCTTGATTGTATTCTCTGGACTGCTAATCACAGCCATTTATGCTAACATGCCTTACTGAGTTTGCGATCTGTAGCCTTTCATATTTTCTGTAGAGATATAAAATGAAGCTTGAGAACCATCTGAGAGTTTTTCTTTGTGTTTAGTCAGTAGTCTCCAATGCTTTTCATGCTGATGCAATTGCTCTGTATCTTGACTGCCCAAGATGGCAACCAATAGCCTTATTTGATTGTGAGGTTCTAGTAAAATGGAAAATGTGGCTGAGAAACTGAATTTTAAGTCTTATAAATTTTTAATTAAATTTTAACTTCAAATATGTACATGTATCTAGTGGTTACTGCGATGAGCAGGGCTACTGCTTCTCATTCTGGTTTTTCTTTGGTGGGTATAAAATATTAATATTCAATGGTCATTGTGTGCTGAGTTTTGCCGCAATTATTTTGTTAAACCCATAAAATTGAGGATGGTTTATTGGTGATTACTACAGAAAACAGTGTTGGGGTGGTTTTCAATTCTTGAGATATTCAGACTATTCTAAAGTTAATGATGCCAAAGGTCTTTGATTAGTTTAATGCATGCCTTTTTAAAAAAATAAATAAATGCATCTCTTTACTGAGATAAAAAAGGAAACCTAAGTGAAGTATAAAAAGGAGGATATTAAATGAACCTAATTGCACAGTGAAGCAATGGTTTTAAAATAGTCTGTGTTTAGTCAATAACCTCCAGGAATGTTAAAGAACAATTTTCTAGCAAGGTCACCAGGACACAAAAATGCATTAGCTTCTGGAATGAAAGCAGAAGTAATGATATTTCAGGCTACGCGAAGTGGAAAATCAAGTCTGAGTAGGCGCTAGCATTGTGCATTTTTAGAAGTTGGCTTGAATTAATCGTTCTTGTGACTCAGACTTATATGTTACACTGTTGTCTTTATGTTCAATTCAGAGGACAAGAGAGGGACTGATGAAGATGAGAATCGGATTGTTCTGGCTCACCGCGCTCTTCACAATTATCGAGGGGCCTGACATCCTCTTGGGCGTGAGTAGGAATATGCCCTGACTTTCCTGTCCAAGATCTCTCCCTTCCCCCGGCACTTTTGGAAACCGTTCTCGAATGGCTGAAGCTACATACTTTCATGGGCTTGGAATCAGTCTTGAGTTCTTAGCTCAACAATGGCAACATTCTTGTTTCAATCCTAACCATGTGCCCTTTGACAAGTCATCTCATCTCTTTCTAATAGAAAGGACCTAACTACAAAGTGAGGTCCTCAGATTAAACTACCTTGGGGATCTTTTCCAGCTCACTCCTTTCTTTACTATGGTCTTTTTGAAACAGAAGACTTATAAGAACTGTCATTAGCAATCCTCAAGCCTTTTCTCCTTGTCTTTTTTCACTCCGTTGATGCTCTAAGCTAGGCTCATGGCTTTTAAAAGCTGGTATTAAGAACCTTGCTAGTATAGTAACTTCAGTATCAGATCCATTTTTTAATTCATTTGGAAACCAAGCAAGACTTTATAAAGTACACATATCCCAAACCCTTATCTTAACTCTTTTCTTTGCCTCTTAACAGAGAAATGAAAACAGAACCAAAAGAGAAGTGATTGTAGCTAAGAAAAGGCCTCTAGGTGAGTGTCTGTCATGTGGCATTGTACAGTGAAGAGTCCTCTCAAGAGACCTGTGTGCTTCTGACTGGTGGTCTGATCCTTTTGCATGCTTTGAAATGATCCCAACAGCTGTAAAATGAGATTAATGGTATTACAGCTAACAAGACACTTGTGAGAAGTAAATAATCTGACCAAAGCATAATATCTCACATATCTACTCAGTAAATTTCTCTCATACCTTATCTTGATCCTAACAATGTAATTAATGATCACAGCCTTCAGTCTAGGACTGAATTGTGTCATGAAGTTTAATCTGTGAGCCTATTTATTTGATACTTCAGATACCAAATATGTTTATTCTTGGAGACTGGGATACACAAAGTTGTGAGGTGCTGGGTCAGCCCGCTAAAGCCTTTATAGTATCTCACTCATTTGCTAAAACAATGTTCTAACAGTACCATAGAATTTGATGAAACTTCTGGAATTTTATAGAACCTATATAAGGAGAATTGATGTCTTTGAGCTGTGGTGCTGGAGAAGAGTGTTGAATGTACCATGGACTGCTAGGGGGAAAAAAAACCAGATTCATCCTAGAGAGGGTTAAACTGGGCAAGGATTCTGAGGCTTCCTCTGACATACTTTGGACATGTTGTAAGGAGGGAACGGTCCTTGGAGAGGGACATCATGCTTGGGAGGGTAGAGGGCAGGTGCAGGAGGGGAAGGCCCTCTATGAGATGGATTGATTCAGTAACTGGGGTAATCGGGATGGGTGTGTCAGAGGCAGTGAGATTGGCACAGGACAGAGCAGAGTTTAGGGCTGTTGTGCATATGGTCACTGTGTCGCAAGCAACTCGATGGCACATAACAACAACAACAACATAACTATGTGTGACTATGATTCTTTGGGAAGATGAAATTGGAATTTAACTTTAGAATGCCATATCTATATCTTTTCTGATAATACAAATGACGGTAAGTATACAGATACTAAGTTAAACGTATTCAACAATAACAACAACTCATGGCTGTCAGCTCATAGCTGACTATCCAACAGGTTTTCAGAGGCAGTTACTTGCACAGGAGGAGATTACTTATCTTTCACCCAAGCTGGTGGAGTCTTAATGCCTGTTTTTGTGTTAGCAGCACAAGTCTCTGTTCACTAGGCATCCAGAGCTCCCATTAAATGCTTTAGATGAATCAAATCTTCATATGACCCATGGAGTTAGGTGCAGTAATTGTCTTTTATTTTATGGAGACTGAAGTGAAAGCACAGAGCAAGAAGGAAGAGCCACGATTCAAACCTAGTCAATCTGGTTCTAGAAATATCACTGACACCTGACCCCTGATGATGGAATGACACCAACACTTTCCAGCTTCTTCCCACTTCTCACCTGTGGACAGTAGGAGTTCTCTTAGTTCCTCACCTCTTAGGACAATTCCCAGGGCCTAATGAGATTGTATGGGAGCTCTGGTGGCCTACTGACAAGAAGCTGCACTGCAATCCTGAAGGCACAGGATTTGACGCCACAAGCTCCTCCATGAGAGAACAGGCAATCTCCTCCCTTGCGATTAACTGGCTCTGACAACCTTCTGGGGTTGGTCAGCTATGGGTCCATTCCAACTCAACAAAAAACACACACAAAAAAGGTACACAACAAAAACAATGATGAGACTGTAAGAGACAGGGCTGAGGACCTGCAGTGTGACGGATGTTAATAGGAGACAGGTCTGTTGTAAATGTCTTCAGATGTGTCTTAGTATTAGTATATGTCCTGTCACTTTCTTCCCAGCAATCCAGACTCCTTATGATAATCTCATAGACCTTTCCCATTTTCTCTGCCCATGAAGAAAGCATGGTACTGCCCTGAGAAACCTAAAAATGTTCTCAGGGTTTTCATTTTCCCTGCCAACAGCACTAATATAGACCCAGACACTCATCCATTTTCTCAAAATGCCTTCACATTTTTGATCTGGCATTCATATATGAACTTCAGAGGACCTTGGATGAAACCCTCATCCCTGGAATTTCATCTAACTTTCCTGTGATAATATCTAGATGAATTCTGAGAGGGACAGGATTCATAGAATCTATTTTCTCTCCAAGTCAAAATAAATAACCTCTCAATAGAGAAAGAAAACACTCAGAAATTATTATGTTGGAGGTAAGGGCATACACAAGACTAATAGAAAGCTTGATTTTGATTTTGCATTTATATATGAAAGCTCAAATCCAGCTGGCTACTGGCACAGTGTTTTTGCAGGAGTAGGAAGGATTTTTTTTAAATAAGAGTGATAAGTAGGGTTTTTATATGGGAGATACTTCAAGGTGATCCGAACTAGAGAGGGGAGCAGATTCATTAGAATTTTTCCACTTCTTCCTTCTGTCTTGTAAAAATAATAATGATAGAACACATGTCAAATTAAATTTATCATTATAAAGTGTTCAATCCAGTAACACTTGTACATTCACAATGTCTTGTATCTGGTACCACTACCTGGTTTCAGGCTAGTTTTCTATCACCCTAGAATTAATAAGTGTTAGAATTCAAGTCCATACTAGTCTATCTGTGTTTTATTGATTATGCAAAGTCATTTGACTGTGTGGATCATAACAAACTGTGGCTGACTCTGAGAAGAATGGGAATCCCAGAACATTTAATTGTGCTAATGCGAAAGCTGTACTTGGATCAAGAGGCAGTAGTCAGAACAGAGCAGGGTAACACTGCATGGTTCAAAATTGGGAAGGGTGTACACCAGGGATGCATCCTGTCTCCATACCTTTTCAACATGTATACAGAGCAGATTATCCAAGAAGCTGGGCTCTATGAGGAGAATTGTGGCATCAGGATTGGTGGAAGATCTATTAACAATATGTGTTATGCAGATGACACAACCCTGCTTGCTAAAACTGAGGAGGACCTCATGCACTTGCTGCAGAGGGTCAAGGACTGCAGCCTTCAGTATGGACTGAGGCTCAATGTCAAGAAGACAAAGATTCTCACCACTGGACCACTTGGTAGCATCAGGAAAGATGGCGAAGAGATTGAGATTGTTCACAGCTTCAGTTTGCTCGGCTCCACAGTCAACACTCTTGGCACCAGCAGTCAGGAAATCAAAAAGCGTATCGCGATGGGAAAGTCTACTGTTAGGGACCTCTCAAAGGTACTCAGGAGCAAAAGTGTCTCTCTGGAGACTAAGGTGCGCCTGATACAGGCCATGGTCTTTGCAATCGCTTGCTATGCATCAGAGAGTTGGACAATGACTAGGGAGGACAGAAGGAGAGTGGATGCTTTTGAGCTGTGGTGCTGGAGAAGGGTACTGAATGTACCCTGGACTGCCAGGAAAACAAACAGATTCATCTTGGAGAGGATTAAACCAAGCTACTCCTTGGAGGCAAGGATTCTGGGGCTTTGTCTGACATACTTTGGACATGTTGCCAGGAGGGACGGGTCCTTGGAGAGGGACATCATGCTTGGGAGGGTGGAGGGACAGCGCAGGAGGGGAAGACCCTCTATGAGATGGATCGATTCAGTGACTGGGGTAATCGGGATGGGTGTGTCAGAGGCAGTGCGGGTGGCGCAGGATAGAGCAGGGTTTAGGGCTGTTGTGCATAGGGTCGCTATGAGTCGGAAACGACTCGACGGCACATAACAACAACAACAACAACAACTAGAATTAAAATCCATTCTAGAAATTAATTCCATATTCAGTGAGCAATCTCTCCTCATTTTCTTTTTTCTCCAGCTCCTGGAAATTATTACTCTGTTTCTTGCCTGTAAGGGTTTACCTAGTCTGTGTATTTTGTAAATGGAATCATAACATATGCTAGACTTTTCCCACTGAGCATGTTTTAAACTTCATGCATATAGCAGCATGTGTCAGTACTTTATTAATTAATCTGTATGAATAATATTCTAATTAGATATATATATCTCAAAATTCATTTATGAGCATTCTTTCTCCCTTTTGACTACCAAGAATAATGCTGCAATTGAAACATTCTTAAATACATTTTTGTTTGAACACCTAATTTAAATTATTTTGCGACTATACCTAGCAGTAAAATTACTAGGTTGTTATGGTAATTCTGTGATTAACTTTTTAAAAGAAATGCAGAACTGTTTCCAATAGTGGCTGTACTATTTTATATTCTTGCAAAAAAAGGATGAAAGTTCCAATTTCTTCACATCCTGCCCGATACTTGTTTGTTTGGTTGGTTTTTTCCTTATAGCCATCCAGGTATGTATCAGATAGTATGTCCTTGGGGTTTTGACTGAGGGCCTAAGGGTAAGACATTACATTGTAATTCAAAGTCTGCCAGTCACTTGGTTCAAATCCAATGGCTGCTCTATGGGATAAAGTTGGGCCTCTCCTCTCATGTGATTTATTGCTTCTGAAAACCTGCTGGAGGGTCAGCCACGGGTTTGTTCCAATTCACTGACACACAACAACAATGATCTAATAAAGGGCCTTGGTAGTGTAATGTGTTAGGTGTTGTGAAAAAAGAAAGTCGATGACTTGAAGTCACAACCTCTTCATAGGACAAAGATAAAAGCCTAGGAAACCAGAAGGGGGATCAATATGATTTGGAATTGCCTTGATGGCAATGGGTTAATAAGTTGTTGGTATAGTATGTAATATACTGGGCTGCTAATTGAAGATTTAGTAGTTTGACTTCATTAACTGCTCTAAGGGAGAGAGGCATTTTCCTCACATAAAAATTTGCAATCTTGCATACCCCAAGAAGGGTTTCCATGAGTCAGAATTGACATAACAGTAGGTTTTATGTCAGTCGGGGAAAATCTAACTGGAGTCCTTGGGGTGATGCAAACAGTTAATACCTTCAGCTGTTAATAGAAAGATGGATGGTGTTGTTGATGTTTGCCTTCAAGTTGGAACCAATCTATAGCTGACCCTCTAGCAGATTTTCAGAGCCAGTTAACTGCACAAGAGGAGATTGCCCATCCTTCTCCTGCAGAGCAGATGGTGGTTTTGAACTCTGTGCCTTTGGGATTGCAAGCACATTTTCTTACCTCTAGGCCCCCTAGAGCTCAGAAAGATGGGTAAGAAGCTCAGATTTTTACCCAGAGGTTCCTCAGAAGCAGGGACTTTAGATTTATGTCTAAAAGATCAGCCTTTCAAAGCCACAGAGCACACGTCTGTCTCCTCTGACATAGTTGGGGCTGTTATGACTCAGATTTAGAGAGAAAGCAGCTCCTACTGGTACAGAATGACTGATGATGTTGAACATTTTCTCATGGGCTTTTTAACCATTTGTTAGAGCTTTCTTTAGTTAACTTCACATGGGAAGCCTGAGTCTGTATGTTTCCTAACAAATTTTAAAACCAAGATGATGCTGGAAGTGGGAGGGAGATTATTATCTCTGTAATGGGATTGGCTGCTGCCAGACTCTTATGACGCGACTAGTATCCCTTGAATTTAAAGAGTCTCTAAGTACAACTATCAAGTACTAGTATCAAGAAGGCTTCCTATCTCAGTTCTGAGAAAAAGTCCTTTGTCTTGAACTTCATCTCCAGGATTGACTTCCTGTGGCTTAGTACCTCTTCTCTTCCATTTGCAGCAAGGTATAGATGCAAGAAGATCATTTCCCAGTAGAGACCGATGTGTCTCTAGGACTGGTCTGCTGAGGATTCTGAAGCTTCGTCTGATACACTTTGGGCATATTGCAAGGAGGGACCATCATGTTTGGAAGGGTGGAGGGATAGTGCAGGAGATAGATCAATTCAGTGATTGGGGTAATGGGAGTAGGTGTGTTGCAGATACTGAGGTTGGCACAGGATAGAACAGGGTTTAGGGCTCTCGTACATAGGGTTGTTATGAGTCACAAGTGACTCAATGGCACATAACAACAACAATGGGGTTGGCAGGAGAAAAGACAGATATGTATCAAGCAAAAGTGGGAGCTGTGTCACATTCTTACTCTGAGTGTTTATTTCAGTCTATGACTAAATGAGAATTCAATGGTAACAGTTTGCGCGGCCCATGACCTTCAAGATATATATTCTTGGTTCTCATGTCCTCAGCAATATTTCCCCAACAGAGTGAGGAAAGAGAGTTCTGATTATGCTTATCTCTCCAGGCCGGGTCCAGGAATATGAGCTGCTCCTTCAGATGACCTATAGAAATTCCAGTGAGAAAAGGATCTTGAAGAATTTTCTGAAGCTCTTGGAGCCTCCATCGCTGCCTCTATCATTATTGTTACATGGATTCAAAGAGATTATCAGAGCAAAGGCTACCACATGTAAGTTCCTTCTGGTGATTGGGAGTTTTAATAGGGAATGAGGGTGTGTCAGTTAGGCTTAGTTAGGGTATGCTGTGGAAACATGCGTCCCCATAGTCACTGTGACTTAAAGAAATAAAGGTTTTCTTTCTTTCTCATGCTGCATGTTCATGCCATTTACAGAGGGTGCATTTGCAGTTGTCACTCAGGGACACAGACTGAGAAATCACTCATTATCTTAAGTATGCTCATTGGTGCACCAAAGCGAACAGAGCCCACTGGAAGTTCCCATGGATGTAATTGCTTTTTAACTGGTAAGGGACACAAATTAATTCTACTCACAGCCTATTGGTCCAAAATGATTTCATCATCCCACACAACTTGAAGGGATCAGGATATGTAGTCTTATTATTTGTCTAGAAGAGAGCAAAAATATTTGATTAATGGCAATAATAATCCCAACAGTGATGTCCAGAGAAGTAAGCAATTTGTCTAAAGCAGTGATTGGACTAGACCAGGAGCATCAAAAGAATTAGGGAATTTAAGAGAAGTGCAAAGCTTTGAAACCATGCAGAATTCCTGAATTAGGGCTCCAAGGATGGAATAATTGAGATAATTGCTATGTACTTTGAACACTACAGGTCTGAACTATTTGCAGATGTGATGTGGAAAAATCAGGATTAAAGGATAGGTTTTTTTTTTATTCTGCTATTCCATTTGTTTCTCTGCTTTATGGTGCATTGCACTAAACCATCTGGAGGGTTTGTTGAAATATATCATATTATAGGACTCCATCCCAAGAATTATGATTTGGTAAATTTTAGTTAAAGACAAAAATCTGAACTTCTTCTGAATTTCCTGTTAAAACTGACACTATTGGTCCAGATACCACACTTTTTATGTGAGAGAACCATTATGCTACCATTTTGCAGTACACTTGTGTAATTTTCTGTGACTTGTGATAAATCCTTACTTATGAGCCTCTACTGGGGAACTGAAGAGACCCTATATGCCTGCACTTTTCCTTTAAGTAAGTGTTTTAGAACCATTGTTAAGGTCTATGCCATTAATTCATTTATTGATTCAATTCACATAAAATGGGCCCTGTTACATCATTAACAGGAGGTAGAGAAGAAAAAAAAAAACTAAGTTCTCACCTTCATAGATAATATACACTCACAGAGCATTCACAGAAAGACCTCTAGGATTCTATAGAAATCCATAATCCTGGAAACAATCACGAAGAAATCAAGTGATTTATTCTTTGGGGAAAATTTGCAATATAAGAGACATCTTTAAAGTTTTCAAAAACAAAGATGTTGCTGTGAGGACTAAGGTGTGTGGGAACCAAGCCATGGTTTTCTCTATCACTTCATACACCTGTCAAAGAAGGACAGTGAAGATCAAAGAAAAACTGACACCAGAGAATGATAATGTTTATTAGGAATGCTCAATAGACTCTGGATTGTGAGAAGCAGGAATAAATTGGTCTTGGGACAAGTTCATCCAGAAAGTTCCTTAGAAGAGAGGATGGTGAGACTTTGTCTCATGTACTTTGGACATGGTAGGAGGAGGGATCATCCACTGGAGAATGACATCATGATTGGCAAAATAGAAGGTCAGTGAAATAGAGGAAGGCCCTCAATGAGAAGGATGAGGGGTTGCAACAATGAGCTTGGAAGCAGCAAGAATTTCAAGTACAGAGTAAGGCTAGTGTTTTGTACTGTTGTACACAGGGTCTCTGTGAGTTGGAAATGACCTGATGGCACCAAACAACAACATAGAGCATAGAGGTGGAGAGATACAGAATTCTTTAAAAAGAAAACAAAAGACCAAAACCCTAACATACAGTATATATTACACTTGGAGCTACTAAATGAAAGTTTAGCACTTTGAATACACCAGCTGCTCTAATAATTATAGCCCATCTCTTCCCATAAAATTGACAACATCAGAAACCCAAGGGAGGGTCACCAAGAGTCAAACTGACTTGAAAGCAATAAGGGTTTTTTGTTTTTAGACATAATATTATATTTGTCATATGTATGTGCATGTATGTCTAATATTGTCCATTATGCAATGATAAATGCAATTAAGAACTTTAAAGTACAGTGTAACTGAATCTGTTGATTAAATAGAATGGTCCAGGAAAACCTGTCTACTGATGTGACCTTAAAGCCAAGACTTGAAAGATACAAGAAAATAAGATGTGTTTTGTAACACATGGGGGAAAGCATTTCAAGCAAAGTGATAAATAAATGTAAGGACCAGGAGGCAGCAACATACTGTATGCATTTAAGGAGCAGCACGGAGGTCAGTGTGCTTGGAGAAGTGTGATGGAAAGAGAGGTAAGAAATGTGACCAGAAGGGAAGGCAGAAAATCATAGCCTATGAGACTGTGCAGGAGAACAGTGGACAATCTTCTATGGGATTTACAGCCTTGGAAACTCAAGAAAGGATCAGATATGAGCTGGTTCCAAATTGATGACAATGAGTCTTGGCATTATAAGGACTTGACCTTTCATCATGTCTGAGAAGGTATGGCCGTTGATCTGACTTCAGTCTTTAAAATGTTGCTCAGGCTATATGTAGACTAGGCAAAGGGGTTATGGAAGCAGGGATAAAAAAAGTGCAAAAAAGGGAGACTACTGGGATGATCCAGGCATGAAATGATAACTTGGAGCATGAAGTGGGGTGAAAAACGGTTAGTTTACAACATTTGAAGTCTGAGTCAGTAAGAGTTTCTGCTGATTATGCCCTGTCTGAGTTTTTCTGACTCTCAGGAGGTGATCCTACGGATCAGGAAGGAGCTTTTATTTCTTGCATCTGCATCTTTCTTTGTTTTCCTTGTTATTCTAACTTCTTTTGGATTAAATAATCTATAAAATATCATTTGCCTCCATTATTGCATTATTGCTTAGATTTTTTTGGTTGTTTCCCTGAACTTTATGATATATTCAGACATTATTTTTGAATTGTTGCAATTATAATCCATAAATAAAGCTTTATAAAGTCACTAACCCAAAGGGTATGAATCTTTAGTGTTTTGAGGATGTCTAAGAATAGGGCAAGGTTTAGATCTGTTATTTATAGGGTCACTATTAGTCAAAATAGATTCAAAACCACCGGACCTATTGGCAGCTTCACGATGGATGGAGAAGGAATTGAGATGGCTGATAACTTCAGCTTGCTTGGTTCCACAGTCAATACTCTCGGAACCAGTAGTTGAGAAATGAAAAGACAAATTGAATTAGGAATGTCTGCTGTCAGCAACCACTCCAGAATACTGAAGAGCAATGATGTCAGTCTGGAGACTAAGGTGTTCCTGATCCAGGCCACCATCTTTGTTATTACTTACTACGCATCAGAGAGTTGGACAATAACTAAAGATAATAGAAATATTGATGCCTATGGGTGGTGTCCCTGGAGAAGAGTGTTGAATATAGCATGGATGGCCAGGAGAACAAACAAGTCTTTCCTGGAGACAATGAAACCAGCTTGCTCCCTGGAAGCTAGGATTTTTTTTTTTTAATTTTTCTTCTTCTTCTTCTTCTTCTTCTTCTTCTTCTTCTTCTTCTTCTTCTTCTTCTTCTTCTTCTTCTTCTTCTTCTTTTTTTAAAAGCCAGTCAAATTCAGCAGTGGGGGGGTGTATACCAACTTTAGGTGAACTAATGTTAATAGTTTCTGATAACCCACTACCATCGGACCAGCCAGATTTTTTTATTTTTTTTTAAAAACGCTATGATTTTGAGGCTCTGTCTCACATACTTTGGGTATGTAGCCAGGAGGGACTAATTCTTGGAGAGGGACACCATGCTTGGAAGAATGGAGAGACAGCGTAGGAGAGGAAGACCCTGGATGAGATGGATTGACTCAGTGATAGCAATGGCATTAGGTTTGTTGGAGATGGTGAGATTGGCTCAGGATAGGGCAGCTTTTAGAGCTGATGTACATAAGGTCACTATGAGTCACAGGTGACTTGATGGCACATTACAATAACAAGAATTGAGGTTGACTCAATGACATCTAACAACAACATGGCTCTCAGGGGAAAAAGAAAGACAATCACCTTTCATTGTAATTTACAGCCTCTACTCATAAACTGTGAATGAATGAATGAATTTCATAATGGTTACACATGGTTGACAATGCTTTGTAGAACTCACAGATTAAGACAGACTTGGAAGGAGAAGTGGCATCCACTTCCTAAACCTGCCTGTGGAAACTCTATGAACTTAAAAGAAAGGACAATAGTAATAAGAAATAGCTTCTTTAACAGGGTAAAAAGGGAAGCCACAGACTGGGGAAAAGTGTTAGGTAATGACAAATAACATGTCAGATAAGGGACTTATATCTAGAATTTATA